CGAGCTCTCTAAAGCAAGGCCCTTGCTATATACAGTACAGGCCAAAAGTTTGGACACACCTTCTCATTCAATGCGTTTTCTTTATTTTCATGACTATTTACATTGTAGATTCTCACTGAAGGCATCAAAACTATGAATGAACACATGTGGAGTTATGTACTTAACAAAAAAAGGTGAAATAACTGAAAACATGTTTTATATTCTAGTTTCTTCAAAATAGCCACCCTTTGCTCTGATTACTGCTTTGCACACTCTTGGCATTCTCTCGATGAGCTTCAAGAGGTAGTCACCTGAAATGGTTTCCACTTCACAGGTGTGCCTTATCAGGGTTAATTAGTGGAATTTCTTGCTTTATCAATGGGGTTGGGACCATCAGTTGTGTTGTGCAGAAGTCAGGTTAATACACAGCCGACAGCCCTATTGGACAACTGTTAAAATTCATATTATGGCAAGAACCAATCAGCTAACTAAAGAAAAACGAGTGGCCATCATTACTTTAAGAAATGAAGGTCAGTCAGTCCGGAAAATTGCAAAAACTTTAAATGTGTCCCCAAGTGGAGTCACAAAAACCATCAAGCGCTACAACGAAACTGGCACACATGAGGACCGACCCAGGAAAGGAAGACCAAGAGTCACCTCTGCTTCTGAGGATAAGTTCATCCGAGTCACCAGCCTCAGAAATCGCAAGTTAACAGCAGCTCAGATCAGAGACCAGATGAATGCCACACAGAGTTCTAGCAGCAGACCCATCTCTAGAACAACTGTTAAGAGGAGACTGCGCCAATCAGGCCTTCATGGTCAAATAGCTGCTAGGAAACCACTGCTAAGGAGAGGCAACAAGCAGAAGAGATTTGTTTGGGCCAAGAAACACAAGGAATGGACATTAGACCAGTGGAAATCTGTGCTTTGGTCTGATGAGTCCAAATTTGAGATCTTTGGTTCCAACCGCGGACGATCATTTATTTTTCAACAGGACAATGACCCCAAACACACCTCCAGGCTGTGTAAGGGCTATTTGACCAAGAAGGAGAGTGATGGAGTGCTGCGGCAGATGACCTGGCCTCCACAGTCACCGGACCTGAACCCAATCGAGATGGTTTGGGGTGAGCTGGACCGCAGAGTGAAGGCAAAGGGGCCAACAAGTGCTAAACACCTCTGGGAACTCCTTCAAGACTGTTGGAAAACCATTTCAGGTGACTACCTCTTGAAGCTCATGGAGAGAATGCCAAGAGTGTGCAAAGCAGTAATCAGAGCAAAGGGTGGCTATTTTGAAGAAACTAGAATATAAAACATGTTTTCAGTTATTTCACCTTTTTTTGTTAAGTACATAACTCCACATGTGTTCATTCATAGTTTTGATGCCTTCAGTGAGAATCTACAATGTAAATAGTCATGAAAATAAAGAAAACGCATTGAATGAGAAGGTGTGTCCAAACTTTTGGCCTGTACTGTATATATATATAAAAGCATAACTATAAGGCTACGAAAACCAAACGAATTTTATTTTATAGCGATTATACACTTGTATAAACATATTAATGGGTAGAATATTCAGATTCAGATTCAGATTGACAATAAACCATGCCAAATATTACACACTGGCCCTTTAATTTATGATGTAAAGTTTATCAGTTGGATAAACTTTTCAGACATTAAAAACACCTTAAAGGGACAGTTCACCCAAAAATCAAAAATACATATTTTCATACATATTTTAACTGTAGTACTGCTATCAATCTAGATTGTTTTGGTATGAGCGTTGGAGATATTGGCCGTAGAGATGTCTGACATCTCTCAAAAATAATGGAATTAGATGGCACTCGGCTTGTGTTGCTCAAAGCGCCAAAAAAAATACATCTGAAAAACTCAACAGCAATGTCTCTTAACAGAAATCATGACCCAGTTACTCAAGATAATGCACAGACCTTGTTGTGAGCAGTTTCATGTAGGAACTATTTTCCAACTTACTTCACAACTCAGCCAAGGAGGACGCCATTCATGTCTAGATCTCTTGCTGTTCATGAGAAGATGCATGCTTCCTTCTGCACGGTGATTCGGTTGACGGGTGTGGTTCAGTCGAAAGAAAATAGTTCCTACATTAAACTGCTCTCAACAAGGTCTGTGGATTATCTTGTGTAACCAGGTCATGATTTCTGGAAAGAGACATTGCTGTTGAGTTCTTTAAATGTATGTTTTTGGCACTTTAAACCCCAAAAGCTGAGTGCCATCTAGTTCCAATATAGACGATAGAGGGCAGACATCTCTACGACTAATATCTCCAACGCTCTGCAACTCACACCAAAACAGTTGTTTGATAAATAGCACTACAGGTAAGAGGAAAATATGTATTTTAGGTTTTTTGACAAACTGTCCCTGTACCACTAACACCTCTATATAAGTATTTCAAAACCCAATATTTTGCCTTTTTCATCTTAGTTCTCTTTCTTTTTTCTAGAGCCGGGGTACTATGAAGATGGATCTTTTGGCATTCGTATTGAAAATGTGGTCCTTGTTGTACCAGCTAAGCCCAAAGTAGGTCCTTGAACTAAGAACAAGGCCAAATGTGTATATAATCATGATATCCATAGGGTTGCAGTAGAATTATTCTTTAAAAGCAGTAAGGAAAACCAGTATGTTTTTGTTCTCTTGTCTGTGTGTTCAGTACAACTACAGAAACAGAGGCAGTCTGACGTTTGAGCCCCTCACTCTGGTTCCTGTCCAAGTCAAGATGATGAACACAGAGCTGCTCACTCAGAAGGAGGTAAAGAATAACCAGTGTGATATATATTGTAAATAATCAAAGACAAATTCACCCACATTAAATTAATAATTTGTCTCAAAAGGTTTTTATTGGAAAGATGATTAACAGTTCAAATACATCAAATCATTAAATGTAACCTAGATAACACTCTGAAGAGTTGGAGAAAGAATATGAGGAATAGGAACGATTTAAAATCATTAACTATGCGTTTGAGTGTTTGATAATATTCCCAGCTATTCCTATTACGCTATGCACTACCTAAACACAGCCTCTTCATGGTTTGACAGCCTCTCTTCTCTGTCCTGCAGCGGGACTGGGTGAACGAGTACCACAGGAAGTGCCGGGAGGTGGTCGGAGCAGAGTTGGAGAGGCAGGGCAGAAAGGAGGCGCTGGAGTGGCTGATCAGAGAGACCCAGCCAATCATCTGAGAACTGACTCTTAAACGATCCAATCCCTTTGCCTAGGAACACTCTACGATCAGGTGCTCCGCAGTGATAATCGTTTGTATTTTTCTCATCTTTCTGTGTCTCACACTCGGCTTCTTTTGTAAAGCACATTGTATCCGCAGTTTTATTAAAGTTCATTCAAAAAAAATCGAGAATAACTTTTCTATGTTTACTACTTTGTGCCTCCAACGTAATCAGCATGTGCTGAACTATGGCAGCCTTACAAACCTGCTTTGAGCATGAGCATAACATCATCAGTATGTACAGTATTCAGACATTAACCCTCAAACATTAACACGCATTTACATTAGAAATCCACAATTACAACTTTAGACATGATTATCAGGCCTCTATATAACTGGCAGCATAATTCTGTTCTTACATTTTGCACCTTTCAGATTAAAGGTAGCCCGTTGAGTCTTCTGTTTACAGTCAGTGCTTCTCATCAAAATGCATTGTTTGTATTCTTGAAGCCTTGCAATCATGTTAAATGCATTTTCCATTTTATAAAACATTTGCAATGATGTTTTTAAATTATTTAAAATCCTGCGTTGTTTACATCAGTGTTTGCTAGCTTGCAATCTTCCCCATTGTTGAATTCTGTTGACAGCGATTCCTCCAGCTGTATCGACACAACCGCTATCAAACAACAGCTAACAAAATCACAAGTGGTCGACTGGACACACATCATAGACATAGGTGTGAAGAGTAACATGTCTCAGCTGTCTATGTGTTCAGATCACTGACACATGTTAATACCAGGGGTAAACTGGCTTAATCTTTTAGGGACACAGAACTGTTCTTACACTTTCTAAGACTTCTCTAGCCAGTGATGTCAAGAAAGGTATTTCCTTACAGTAGAATCTGATGCAGTGTCATGATCAAGTATCATATACAAATTCTTCTTCGCTTTTGCATTTGAATCAGTGAATTATTCAGCAACAGTCAGAAAACGTTTTAACTTTGGAGTAGTTTGTTATGAAAGAGAAGGTTAGGGTCTTAAAGGGGTATGCCAGTAATTCATTATTTAACTTTAAAATCAAGGAATTGTAAAGTGGATGGAAAATGCTCAGTTTTAGTACCGTGTATGGGCAAAGTTTTCAAACACTGGATCTCACATATCCCATAATGCAACTTGATAAGGTCTTAGGTTCCTCTCCTGGTAAACGGCCACATTTTTCAAACTTCACGCAGCCTATGACCTGGTAGCCCATTAAGCTATCTGTTATAAATTTGTAGTCCCAAAGCCTATGCTGTGATAACCATGGTGATATCACTATGACATCACCAGGGTTATTTTCTCAGACTTGAGCTACAGAAGACATTATGCAACTGTTTTTTACAGGCTGAGTAAAGCTCCCCCGAGCTCGGTCTCACTTCGAAGTCATCGAAATCTGACACTTGGCCAGTGACTTGTGGCGTCAGAAACCAACGAAAAAAGGCGTCCTTTAACGTCAGCATGATACACGGCCGGTTGCTGTTATAGTTGAAGGGTGCCCGGCACCATCAGGGTGAAACGCAGTGGGACAAGAACGAAAGTCAAGACGGCAAAGGTTCGACTGGGGCGGGTGGGAGTGGTGTTGGATGAGTCCAACAAACACAGACTGTCACCCGAGATAGCAGTGTTCATGTTCCGTAAGATTCTAAAGCCAAACCCTGTTCTTTTTTCCTAAACCTAACCATGTGCGTTTTTTGTTGAAGGAAAAAAACTTAAATTCGCGGTGTTGTACAGATGTAGTGCATTTATTTTGAAGGAGACTGCATGTAAACGTTAAATTTCCTGGGAAAACAGAAGTCTGTTTTGAAAGAGGACAATGTATGTAACAGGTAGAACTTGACATAAATGTCAATATGTGATGAGGTTGCAGTGAGAATGTTGAGTGTCCCTTTAATGGCCTGTACATTGTAACAACCTTTGACAGACACGGTCTCAGGGGTCCAGCTTCAGACCTTTCAGATTCTAGTGTCTCGCTTATCCAGTTCATAACAGTCCCCCCACCCCCACACCATAACTCTCCACCCTCTAAAGCTGCATGTAAAAAATCGGAGGATCCAAGGTGACACCGCTGTTGGGATCGTTGGCGTACTCTTGAAACGACAATGGCAGTGTCAGTGCAGTTTGCCCCTCCGCTGGTCCCTGCAGGGTTTTAGTCCCCCCCTCCTCCTCTTCCTCCTTCAGTCCTACAGGCAGCGGGTTGCTGTAGATGTAGTAGATCCTGGAATTGTCCTTTGCTGCCTCAGGTTTCCTGAAGAAGGCAAGAGGGTTGATGAAGCTGGTGGAGCGCTTCACTGCTTTGACAGCCACGGGGTCAGCCGCCTCGCCTCGGGTCACTGCACTCTCATACACATGGGCTCTCTTTGACTGCCTGGTGGAGAAGACGGCACTAATTGCACTAATGACTTCAGTGTAATTTTACATTGCATCGTACTCTATTTTAAGTTACAGTGATATGAAAGACAAACACTCTACAGACGGATTGTAAGAACACTCGTTGTTAGAAAATGTCAATTTTCTTTGAATCTGATTAATTAAGGCACTGACCTATATGTTAATAAAGGGACAGTTCGCCCTAAAATCAAAAATACCTACTCAAACTTAACAACAACAAAACAGAGCTCATTATTGTTACTCCCAATGTGATAATGTGGACGGATGCATCACCCACCCGTCCCCAGGAGTCCACAACCTGGGTGTCATTCTGGACTCCACCCTCTCTTTCCAGTCACACATCAAAACCATTACTAAGTCCGCTTTCTCGCACCTGAATAATTCTTCCAGACTCCGGTCATTGCTCTCTGACTCCATGGCAGAGACCCTCATTTACACTTTCATCACCTCCCGTCTGGACTACTGCAGTGGGGTCCTGTCTGGGGTACCCCACAAGTCCCTTGACAGGCTCCAGTATGTGCAGAACTCAGCTGCCAGGGTTCTCACCTGTGCCAAGCCCTGGCAGCACATCACCTGCACCCTCATCCATTTTACTGGCTTCCAATCAAATCCCACATCCACTATAAACCTCCTCACCTACTGATGCCTCCATGGTCTTGCCCACCCCATACCTGTATGACCTCCTCCAACCCTATACCCCATCCGACAACCTACGGTCCTTTGGCTCGGGTCTGCTCTCCAACCCCAACTCCAGCCTGTGAACTTTTGGGGACAGAGCATACAGTGTGGCAGCCGGCAGAGATTCACAAAGCTCCATCTCTGGACATTTACTAAATACTGCTGAAAACAACAAAAAAATGTTTTTTTTTTTCATTATTATTGATTTTGGGGTGAACTGTCCCTTTAAACTAGGGGCTGCATGTATACACAGAAGCTTCCATGAATCCTAATAAAGGTGAGAAGGCAGGTCAGTCACAAGTGTTTACAGCAATCATTTTAGTGTATCAAATCATATCTGACATCTGATGCTCACCTGGTGCGGTTGTAGCAGACAGTGATGCAGTACAGGCCAGTGACAGTGAGAACACACAAGGCCAGGGTGATGAGGACAATGTTAAACACTTTGAACTCTGGGTAAGGAAAAAACACATGAGTTTAACTTAAAAAGAAACGCTGAAACATCTTCCATTCAGTCTGTCTCTATGGTGACAGTGCTGTGGAAGTAAAGAGTACAACTCACCAAACAGAGCTGTGTTGATCTCCTGGTCATGTAGCCCCAGAGCTGCCGTCTCGTTCAGATGGAGGCTGTCTGCCGTCATTGCTCCGTCCAGTTGGGCTCCACTCATGCTGCTGCCATTGGCTTCCAAAACATGCACTAAAGATTGAGCTTCAAGCCTCTTCTTACTGCTCTCAATAGAAACCCGAGGCCATGTGACTCAAACAGCTCGACTCAGTCGCTGTGGAGACACCCCCTCTTTTGTCACCCCTCAGTTCAAGTTGGACACCCCCTCTTCTCCCTCCGCCTCTACTCTACTTGTTTACTGCTCATTATTCTGCTCAGCAATTTGGGGGGACACGGAGGGGAGGGAGATTTTGGGCCTTTTATACTGTCTGTAATAAGCTCTGAGTAGTGACCCAAAACCAGAGAGTGTGCATGCATTCAGCCTGCAAAGACCACCTCTGAAAATGTGTGAGAGAAAGTAAAGAGGACAGGTTACTTCAAATATGGTGCTCTCATGTGTTGTATTAGCTTTTTGTTCTTAAAGCAGTGTGAATCCTCTGATGTGAAATACATCCATGAGACGGATGAAGGAAGTCTCGCTGCCATATCTACTCATGATTAATATACACAAACAATGCTTGTGTGCCATATGCTGTCTTATACTTTTAAAAACATCTGTATCAGATTAGGGCTTTATCTTACAACTATTTTCTGGAGTTAACAAAATGAAATAAAAATCACCAAACACATGAAACCAAAGCCTTTTCCATCTGTTCTAACAACAGCTGTAATATGACCATAAAAATATTACAAACAAAATAAAGAAAAGCAACAAAAGGACACTGAAAAAAATGGACATAAATAAATAAATGAATAAAATAGAATAAAATAAAATAGAATATAATTAAATTAATTTAATTAAACTAAATTAAATCAAATCAAATCAAAATAAATTAAATTAAATTAAATTAATTATTGTATAATAATAATAATTAAAGGGCCAGTGTGTAAAATGGGTTGAAAACCGTTGGAAACAGTGACATCAGTGGTCAAATTCTAGATTGCAGGGCTCACTCGCTCACCCCTCCTGTCGGGTAAATGACGGTGGCCTCGTAGGGACAAAAAGCCTTGCGCACGAGTTTTTCAGGAGTAGGTCTATCTAGCGACGAGGTGAATGTTTATTTAGAAATCTAAACCATGTTACGATATTGTAATGAATCCCTCACGAGCAGGAGACCAGAGGAGCGTTCGGGAAAAAGGCCCGTTTATTTGAGCACTCCAGAAACTCTGGTAACACTCCAGGGGGTAAAAGACTCCGTCCCAAATTCTGACTCTTCTAGCGTAACAGACACACTTCATAACTTTACACACATACTCGTTTACGATACTGAGTGGGGACCGACCCCCCTCCCCTCTCTGCTCCGCCAACCTCCAGCCCGCACACTGACTGACAGCGTAGCCGGTAACAGAGCTCAGCTGTTTATCTAGCCTAGCAATATCTCCGGACTATAGTAGCTGCAATGGACGACTTTGAACGCGATTTTGAAGAGTTTCTTGTAGCGGACACAGACCCAGAGCCATACCTGTTTGAACCGGAGCACACAGATGAGGAACTCCATGTGTTTGATGCTGAGCGGGCGAGAAGAGAGGCTGAATGCACAGAATGGGATTCGGTGCTACTGCTACCATCGTTGGGGAGATATCACCAGGAGGAAAAGCGCCGCAGAGAGTGCATCACAAGGAGTGAAGTTGCGTCTTCTTTTCCTCGCAGATGACGGATCGGGTTCATTCTCTCCTGTTGCGTGGTAAGTGTGGTCCATTCGCAAACTTTATAACTAAAAAAAACTTTTCACTACTCTCTATCGACGAACTACTAACACTCTCTGCTGTTTCCTCCTCCTTCTTCCTTCCTTCTGCTGTCTTAGTTGGTTCATTTATACACGCGAAACGCGTTCTCTGGCTGGCTGGATTGTCCACTCGGTCTGCCGTACATACATGACGGCACAAGATGGTGATCTCTCTAAAGCAAGGCCCTTGCTATATATATCTATAAAAGCATAATTATAAGGCTACGAAAACCAAACGAATTTTATTTTATAGCGATCATACACTTGTATAAACATATTAATGGGTAGAATATTCAGATTCAGATTCAGACTGACAATAAACCATGCCAAATATTACACACTGGCCCTTTAATAAATATGCACCTCTATATTTGGTAATTTCAAACATTGTTAAAAGAGAACAAAAATGAAACTTAAGGTAAATTAACAATTCCAGTATGAAGAATAAATGCATGGAAATGCTCAGTTTGTACATTTCATATTGACCATGCCGACTCATCACTGCGTCTTCAGCCAGGATTGTGGTGATTTAGTTTTTTGTGCCTAAACCTAACCACATATTAAACAAAGCTTTACTGAAACTTAAAGAAAAGTAAAGTTTCAACGTATCTGCTACCTAGATACAAATGTAACATATCAGTGGTTTGCAGAAACATACAATGCTAACATTTATTCTTGTGATTGGGTTGACAATCTGTTGAATTTTCTGTCCATTAACACCTTCAGCAATATATCAAATCAAATAAGATGTCAATTAGTCATAGAAGGCCTAACAGAGTGCCTTCTCCTGCAGCACAACATCTAAAAACTCTTGTTCAGACCCAGACATCATTCAAAAGCCCCAAATGTACCAGCCATGACTGCCGTACTTGTACACCTGTTGTTTTTATGCTCATCGCTGCTGGTTTTGTGTGTTTTGAGGATGGGAGTAAAGGGAAACCAGGACCAGCTCCTCAGGCCGACACAAGAGCCATAGCCAGCAAAAAGGCAACAAAGACAGCATTCTGCTTTCTCCTCATGCTTCACTTCACCCCGCAGCGCCACAGGAGATATTATGCAATTAGCTGAGCATCTAATTAAAGCAGGGTTTTGTTTCCCTGTTTGACAAGACGAGCTGCTGTACAGAGTGAACTTGGAGGGGAATGTTACCTCTTTGCGAGTGACCTCTGTGTCAACCTGCTTGGGTGGGATGCTACACAGGATGATACATAATGTGCGTAATAAGATAAAGACCAGAACAGGGTATTTATAGCTCAACTTAGTTTGATATTAAAGAAAAAGTGATAATAATCAGCTCTCATTCATGCCATTTAGCTATGATGTCTGCTACTGGAACAACTGGACAATCACAGTCTCAAGCTTTCTTCACTTTTCACACATTGTTTTAACATTATTAGTTTTTCAAAGCAGACAGTATCAGGTCTATCCATGCAAGGACAATTATTAGAAACTGCACAAGATTAAATTTCCTTTTGCTTGTATATTTTAGGTCCAACAGATCCTCCACTAGGTGTCAGGCCTCGCCTTGCCTTGATTCAACATTACTCCGTCAAGTCAGCATACAGTGAAGAAAAACAAAGACAGAGAGATTGAATGATTAGGATATAAGTAGTGACACAGAGGCTGAAATATGTGTTTATTAGCCTCCTAAACGTCTGTAAAGCCTGTTTAATTTTCAAATCCATCCTGGCTCTCTACAGAGTTAGGCTGTTTTGATTTAAGGGGCATGTGGGTGGCATTAAGTTGGTATGGTTTATTTGAGCAGAGCACTATGCATAAACCAACTCTGCGCTGTCTGTGGTGGCGATCATGGGAAGAAGACGGGGAATATACCACCTCAGTGATTCTCAGTTTTACCAAAAACTATCAGCAAATTCCAGAATTTCTCATGATGATAGATAATAGATGGCTGAGGTAATTATAATTACTCTTTATGTTGTTTAATTCTTTTTTTTCAAAGGTTTTAATTGAAAGTATTTACTTAACCAAGAGTCATTGGAATCATTATTGTATATCATAGGTTTAATGACGTACTAATAATGTGCTGTGCTGACTGAGGATGCCATTTAAATGCTTGTGGTTTGGCATTTTTATTGAGCGAGATCTAGCTTTCATTTTTTAAGCATGCAAAGTCTGAGGGCCGCTGTGAAACTGTGCCTACTTAGGGCAACAAAAAAGTTTATCTTGGGTGTGTCGGTACAATGGGCAACCAAGAAAGGACAGCAGAGTAAATACCTGCACACTAATGCAACTGGGCTGGACAGCCACAAACAGGTTCACAGGCTGTGATCAATGCAAAACAAAAGTCAATTTATTAAGGACATTCGTGCACAAGAAAGGGTGCTCACAGTGCAAAAAATAATAGAAAGTGAATACAAACAGCAGCAAACGTTTCAGTCCTTGACTATCATCAGTGCTTCACAGAACACATACTGACACAGACAGATTGCTACCAGTGATTGCTACCACTCATTAGATAAGATCAACTCTGAGGAGCAGAGGCCTGAATTTTGTAAGCATGCACACAAGAAATGGTCATGGGCATGACATTGTTTTGCAATACCAGATGATAGGGAAAGTTTGGGGTACGTGGGATCATAAATTACTATAGACCTGAGAACAAACTGCTTGTGCTTGGTTAAACTTTGACCTAAATTGAACTGAGCATTTGTTTTAGAAAAAAAAAGGTTCTGTAGTTATAAACTGACAATGCTTTGTCCAAAAAAGAGAGAGATTACAGTCATCTGGTTTTGCTTTGTGCGTTTTATTGAATTAATTTTTGTATTAAATAGTCTAGTCAGCTCTTGACCTCTTTAAGAGTCCCGTAGAAAACTTTTAAATGAGCTTCTTTCCTAAAGTAGATGTGTACAATGATTTGGTAAAATATGACTCACATTTTTCCTATACATACAATATATAACTTTATTTAACCAAGAAATGGCCTCACTGAGATTAAAAAGCTCTTTGTCTTGACCAGGAATGCAGATCTACGTACAAAATAAAACATTAACACAAGAAATGCACATACAGAATAAATAACAAGACGTGTGTGTGTGTGTGTGTGTGTGTGTGTGTGTGTGTGTGTGTGTGTGTGGGTGTGTGGGTGAGGGGAGGGGTGGGTGCGATTGAGTGGGCATTTGGTGTATGTATAACTGCTGTCTTTTAATATTGTATATTGCTTTGCTTTTTATGGACCTACGGGTCTGAAATAAAAATGTATTATTATTAAATCAAAGGAAAAACAAAAAATATAGACCATAAAGTTGTGGGTTAGCTTAGGCTTATTATACCTACCCTTTTTTCTTGGTTTATTCCCATAAGTAACCATTTACTTTAGGTTGCAAAACACACAAACAGACTTATTATGAGCCACATAGAGGATAGACTGATAGAAAAGGATC